CACTTAATGCATAAAACTTCACTATAGACTTCTAGGAAAAGTATATAAAAATACTCACTTGGAAATGAAAATACATGTATTTGTTCCGTTCTGCTCTGTTCTTTTTCTTTCCAGAACATCATGAACATTGTCTGAGAAATGCTGTTCTAAGCTACCAACATAGAGTGCCTCAGTGAGCCACTTTAATTTTTGTTTTATCCTTACCAGAGGACATTCTACCATTGCTTCTAGAGAGAGAAGGAGGGGGAGAGAGAAGCATTGGTTGGTTGCCTTCTCTATGCACCTGAACCAGGGATTGAACCCATACCTTGGTCATATGCCCATAGTGTGAATCGAACCTGCAACCTTTTGGTTATGGATGACGCTCCAACCACTGAGCAACATCAGCCAGGGTTCAGTGTACCCCTTTAAAAAATATATGAACAAAGGTTCTTGAAGTAATTTTGTGTGCATTTTATATTCTATCAGAAAACAGTCTCTTCAACTGCAAAAATATCTTTTTCTGTTCTGTATTTCCTCCAAGCCATAGCCGTCATTAGGTAAAGTTCCGAGATTTAGAAGTTTGCGCTAGATCTCCAACAGGCCCCTTTTAACCCTCTTCAGGACATGCAGTGTCCCCAGCACGATGCGTGAGCCCAGGTCCCTGCAGTTGCACACCGGTGTCCCCAGGTGGCACACAATGCGTGAGCCCAGGTCCCTGCAGATGCCCATCACCTAGGTTTGTTCTTTCCTTGAATGTTTTGAAATCCGAACCAGTCTATAACATCCCATAATGCCATAAGTTCCTTGTAGTCCCTCAGGCTGTCAGGGTTTTAAAATGAGTAAGAAGGTAAGAAATATCAAAAACAGATATTAATCCATCATTTAAGTAGAAGCAGCAGGCTCAGCAGAAAAAAACAGGGAGACTCTGGCACGACATTCTCTAGGTTTAAATCCCAACTCTTAAATTCTCTGTGCCTCAGTTTCCTCACCTGTAAAATAGGGATAAAATTGATACCTACTAGTTCAAGTTGTTTTTGAGAAATTAAACAAGATATGTAAAGCACTAAGGAGTAGTATAAAAACAGTGAAGAAAAGGAATATGTATCCTCTCTTGTCACCTATTCTATAGCTCGACTACCTGCTCTATGTATTATACATGCCTGAACACAATTAAAACATGTATGCTCAGGAGGTTTCAGTGGGAAGCCTGCTTTATTACCCTTGAAGAAGTGGCAGCAAAGTCATTTTCTGTCTTTCCTTCTCAGCAAGCTGCATCCTGTCTTGCTGTTCAGCAAGAACTCGTGAGTATCAGCCTGAGCCCACTTCAGGCTCCTCTTGGAAATTTTCCACCAATAACCCTAAGACCCCGAGCCTGGGCTTTTCCCCTACTTTTCCTATTAAAATAGTCACACTATTTGCCTCTCAGATGACTGGCTCGCTTTTCCTTCACCAACGCTACTCCTTTCTTGACCTTCAAAGAAGGAAATTGTCTTGAAGTTGGACAGGGAAATCAGCAGGGTAATATTTTTGAACAGGTATTTTATGAAGAACATTCGATTTAGTGAGAACCTACTATGTTCCAGGTATAATATCAGCATGACAGTGCTTCTTATTTAAGTTTTAAATTTTGACTCTTTTTTAAAAAATGATTTAGATCTCTGGTGCTCATGGTTTAACTAACAGAACTAAAAAAGATATGATTATTTGGTGAACATCATCTGGTTCTAACAAATTGATACCTCCTTTAAATCCCTTCCACATCTGCACATCCAAGCTACCCTTGAACTTTATATTCTCTTCGAGGTGCCTCTCAGTTTTCTTTATAAAAATCTTTTTAACTAATACTGACAATCTAGCAGCTATAAAGTTAAAAACTAACTATAGTCAGCCATTTAAATATTTAAGAATCTTTATGGCAAAGATACCATAAATAAAATCAATACATAAATAATAGTTGAAAAATTATCACAGTGCAAAGGACAGAGAGAGGGCTAATTTCTTAATGACAAACAGTATCAACAGTTTAAAAGAAAAGAATGAGCAACACACTAGGCAATTTAAGAACAAATCAAGACAAATTGCATAATGACGTATCACGCAATGCCCAACACACGGGGCACACTGGCGATCAGGATCGCTGGAGGGGATGCGGTACAGTGGGTACTTAGGGGTCGCTGCCAAGGTGTATGAGTTACGGTTTTGGAAATCAAGGTTGCATTACTTGTACAAGAAATATTATCAATTATTTGCTACATAAATACCTCTCCTTGGGAATTATTCCATAAGAATAACACACTAATATGTGTATGTGTGCATTTTAAAAATAACATTCTATTTAATAGTAGCATTTCATTTCATCTAAAGAAGGATTGCTGTTTCTCAATGAGAAGATGGAAATATATGTGGTCATCTACACCACCTAATACAGTGTCGCTATTTAAAACAATGAATTAGGTTGAGCTCCACATATTCCTTGAAGGGATACTGTTAAGGTACTTTTAAAAGATAATAAATTGTGTGTAATAAAATCATCTTACGGTCCAAGCAAATGGCAAACTCACATGTGTTTGTAAAATCATATAAGCAGATAGAAAGGTAACTGAGAAAACGCAAAGAACCTGCGAAGAGAGGAAGCAAGAAACAAAGGAAAAACAGTCTACCTTAAAAATGGTACACAAATTACAGTTATTCATTTATGTGTAGTTACAAACATGTTTGATATGTAATGATTTAAAATTCTGGCATCTAAATAAAAATAAAAAGCTTTAATTTATTTATACCTTAACTTAATTAAAAGATGGTGGTGCGTGAAATTGCACCAAAAAAATGTGACCGGCAATTTTCCCCACTCCTTCCAATAACCTCATTACCCTTGAGGAATGGCCATGGATATCATACATTTCTGCAAAAACATATAGGGATTGACCGCAGTGACTTAGGCATTCGGGGCAGAAAGACGGGTAGATACTGTCCCTGTCCTTGAAGAGCTTAAGCCTAGTGCTGGGAGTTTGCTGAGAAAACAGCGGTCCTATGCAGACTTCATGTGAAAATGAAGGTATATGGAATGGTAGTGGGACACCGCAGATGCCAAGGATGTTTAAATGAGCTGGTATTTCAGTTGAGAGAAGGAGGATGAATGACAATAGCACAGATGATATACAGTCAAGAGAGACAGCAGAAACAATATCTAAAGGTCTACAGGCACGACAGTCTCCGGAGTATTAAAATAATAGGCAAACTCTCTTACATAGATGGAGCACGGCATGCTTGGGTGGATGTACAGGGTCAAGAAACTGTGGGCAAAAAGGGACCACACACGACACCTGACAAGCTCAGGGAGGCCTGCGTGGTGGCCTTACAAACTGCAACACCAAAGGAACCACACAGGATGGTCTGAAGTGAAACTTTCTAACTGAAAGCCGGTCATGGAGGGTGGTCATGCCCTAGGCTAGAATCTTCCCAGAAGTCAGTCTTTACCTTAACTGAGTCTGTCTATCGTCTTTTGCATCTACAATCACATGTCTTGGGAATGTCAAATTTCCTTTTTCTGGACCCTTCAATGCATAAGCACCGACCAGAGCACAGACCACAAAGCCCCTAATTGTTACTGTTATTGTGTTGTTGACTGTTAACTACCCTGTACCCACCTATGTAAAAGAAGTGTGTCTGTCATTTTACTTTTTATTCGGTTCCAGAGACTTCCCCACTCTGCTTTCTCCCACCTCTTTAATCTATCACCAGTGGGTTTCATGGAACCCACTTTCGCCTCCTCTTTTTATTGCAATGTACAAAGTAAGGTGCAAAACAGCCATTCCCAGGGGCATTTTCTCAGTCCCTTGGAGTTTTGCTTCCCCGCAAATGGCACCAGTTGGTCTCACAGAAACTCATAAAATGTCTTACAGGTTTGGACATTTCTTACACCGATAAAATAGGAGCTAGAAAGTTAAGACGGGGCCTCATTCTTATAGGTCTTAAGTGTCAGGTAAAGAATTTGGGTTTTTTCACAAGGCCATGAAGAACCACTGAATGTTCCTACAGAGGAGAAAAGAATAACTAGAATACTACCAAAATTGACATTCTTCTAAAATGGCTCCAATGCGAACCACTTCATCTTGCAAGAGGATAGACTAATTGATTTCAGCACTTCTGGGAGAAGCGCAGCCTTCTCTACTCTTTCTCTCTTCAGATCCAGAAGCCAAATCACCAAGGCTGCTGAGCCAGTAAGAGGATTTATCTCCAGCATCCTCAGAAGCACCTCCTCTGTCCACAGGAAACGGTCTTCCCTGGGGTTTGGGGGTCTCATCAACAAAGGCACAGTAGTTCACCCCTAGGGTTCAAGCCAGCCAGCATTGCTGCTCATAGTTGAGGTCTGAGGAGATCCTCATGATAAACTTCACAGTGGGCTGGCCCCTGAGTTAAAGGAAGATGTCCTCTATCGGTGAACCCTGTAGTGAGCTCTCAGTCTCCCTCATCCTCCCCCAGCTCAGTGGAGACCAGGGCTGTAGGAGTAATTCAGCTTCTGAGGACCTGTTGCCTATTAGAGACACATTTGTTGAGAGGACACGCCCACCGCCATTCCGACTGGAAATAGGAAGCCATTGTCAGCACCCCAGGTATAATTCTCCTCTTGTTTTCAGATGCTGTGGGGGATGCCTGCAGACTTAGAGCATGAGAAAGCTGGAGGATTTAAAGAGTAAGTAGAGTCATAGTGAAATTTTTCTTCTAACCATCAGCAAACAGCTATTGGCTGATAGAAGTCTCCACCACAAAAGGGGCTTTGATTTCTCTGGTTGAAGTTTCTTAAGCCGACAAGGGGCGCGTGTGTGTGTGTGTGTGTGTGTGTGTGTGTGTGTGTGAGATGGAAATCCTGGGACCCACTGGCAGGTGGCTGGGGTGTTTCAGGGAGTGTCTTTGTTCCTGGCCACCTCCTGTATGAAGATCTGGTTTCACTTGGAAAGAAAGTAAAGATCCAATTTAATGTAATGCTTATTTAACATTTCCACAGATATCACTAAGGAATGGCCACAGGGAATCACTCCACAGCATGTATTCATCTGGGTGGGTTGGCCCCGCAGCCTCTTGCCCCTGTTCCGGGGCATCTGTGCAGTGACAGCAACGGGGAGCTTGGCCGTGGTCCTCCTGATCGCTGTCAGCCCTCCGCTCCACACCCCCACGTGCTACTTCCTCAGCAGCTTGTCCTCCATTGATCTCTGCTGCTCCTCGGTCACTACCCCCAAAATGCTGGTGAACTTTCTAGGGAGGAAGAATGAGATCCTTTATTCTGAATGCATGACACAGCTCTTTCTCTTCGTGATCTTTGGGGTGCTGAGGGTCACCTCCTGACCGCGATGACATGCGACAGCTACGCTGCTATCTGCAACCCACTGCTCTACAGTGTGCTCATGTCCTCTAGGGTCTGCTGCCTGCTCGTGCAGGTTGCCTTTATCCTGGGCTTTCTGCCTGCCCTGACCCATATGGGCGCCATGATGAAACTGTCCTGCAAGTCCCACCCCATCAGCCATCACTTCTGGGACGGCCTTCCTCTTCTCCACCTTTCCTGCTCCAGTACACACCTCAATGAGCTTCTGCTTTTCCTCATTGCAAGGACTTAACACCTGGGTGCCTACCCTAGCTATCTTCATGTCCTACGTCTTCCTCTTCCACAGCATCCTTCGCATCTGGTCCTTGGAGGGACGCTCCAAAGCTTTCGGAACTTGCAGCGTCCATCGTGTGGCTGTGGGGGTCTTCTTTGGGTCTGTCACATTCCTGTACTTCAAGCCCCGCTCCAGCAAGTCCCTGGAACAGGAGGAGGTCTCCTCAGTGTTTTACACCGCAGTGATCCCCTTGCTGAACCCTTTGATATTCAGTCTGAGGAGCAAGGGTGTGAAGGAAACCCCGAGGAAGGTTTCGGTGAGGAAATGTTTTGCTTCTGGGAATGTAGGGACTAGAGAAATAGAGAGTCCAATGAAAAGATGCTCCTGATCATCACATCCTTTACCAATAAGCAATCGTACTAAAAAGCACCAGGAAGATTTCACTCTGTCTAGCTCTCTGCCAAGCTTAGATAAAATAACCATACCCTGAAGCAGAGCTTGATAATTTTGTCAAAAGCATATTGCAAGGTGCCTAGCCAATCTTTGTGCTGGTTTATGGAGGAAATTTTAATGGAGTAATTGATACTGACAGGGAAGCTGAGCAGCTTCTGAGAAGATTGCTAGTATGAGCAAGAGTAATAACCATTTACCTCATGCCTAAGAAAACTGGCCACAAGTTCATCTCTAGTACAAGTGTAACAGGTGTGGAACAAGGTCCAGAACCTGGGGTGTTTGGGCAAGGGGTCTCCTCAAACCGGGGAATCTCCTCCCCACCCTGGGAACATAGGGAAAAAAATCCCAAAACCTTCTCAACCTGGCTGGGGGAAGGGAAAGCAGAGCAGGGCCATTGAGAGTTACTTCGCTTCTCTAAAGAACATTGCTTTAGTGATGTTAAGCAGTCACGCCAGCCAGAGACCCGGGGAGATGTGCATGCTCCTAACTTGTGATGTAGCCAGAGGGGCTTGCTGATCCTGTGAGAGGGGCTCGGAGGTGCCTCCTACATCAGGGGCCAGGGCTGCCCAGACTAACAACGGCAACCGGGAAAATCAGAAGACACCACAGTACTGGCACGTGTAACCCAGGGTGGGAGGGGCTCGAAACAGGAAGTCCTGTGCCGGGATTTAAACCCAGGCTCGGCAGCCATGCTGGAGCTTAACCATGCAGCTTGGGGGGAGGAGGCCTCTTGACCACGAGCGACAGTGCGGGGTCTTGGTCGCGCAGTTTGAAAAGGTTCAGGAGCACCCCCACAAGCCCACCATGAGAATGCGGTTCTGGATTAAGAAAAGGAGCCTAGCTGAGCACAGACGACTGGAAGAAGCCAGTATACAGGCAGGCATCTTCCCAGCTAAGCTGCAGACTTCTATTTCTTATCCTGAGAGATGGGACCTCTGACTGGCCTGGTTTGGCGAGGGAAGGCAAGACCGTGTGTTTGTGGGTATTTTTGGTTTCTAAAGAGCATGGAATTTAACTGCACAATTCCACCATTATTCTGAACCTTATAACCTTCCAGTACATAGTTCCTTTCCTTTTCATAAGACTCTGGCATTGGGGGTCATGCTTCTTATTGGTGGCGAGCAATAGAACCCACGGCAGTAGAACCCAGAGTGGTTCCCTTACATAAGGACCAGAGCATCAGTACACATCTCAGCTTTAACACAGATTCTATCCAGATCGACCTGCTATAAGGAGAAGTCCTCACTAGGTATACTTGAGGTGCTTAATATGTGTCCTTAGAGACTGCTCACTGTGTTCCTTAACATCCATCTCTTCACAAACTTTCCTTGATCAACTTGTTTAACTTGTGCCCTCATAAAACTTCACTCTTACTCCATTATCAACATAGCCTTGAAAACAGTGTTTTCAAATTCAACTAGCCTCTGTGATGTGACCAAGGTCAGCAACCTATGGCCTGTGGGGACTAGCCTGCCTGCTGCACATTTGCATAAATGAAATGTTACTGAAACAAGCTTTGCCCGTTTGTCTATGTATTTTCTATGGCTGTTTTTATGCTACCGGAGAGAGTGCAGTATTTGGAACAGGAACCGCCCAATCCTCAAAACCTGAAATAGTTACTGTCTGGACATTTAGAGAAAGTGCTTGCTCATCTCTGGTCTATGAAATGGGTGAGATGTCACAGGCTTTGATCAGGTAGAATTGCTTCCCAGCTGTCTTTATTGAAGCAAAATCTTTACAACTGCCATGGATACATGTTTAAAAATCCCTTGAATACACAGATGAGGAATTAAAAAATCATCATCACTCACATGTCGCCTCGTTACCTCCTTATGAAGCGACCCGGCCTCCAACAAGTTTCTTCAGGGCTCTTTTGACATCTTTGTTTCTCAGAGTGTAGATTCTGGGGATTAACATGGGGGTGCCCACATTGCCAAAGATCTGCCTGGGGTTACCGGCACCTCACTGAAAGGTGGCTGGGTATGAATAAGGGCACAGGGCCCAAAGAACAGTGTGACCACAGAAAGGTGGGAAACACAGGCAGACAGCGCCGTGCGCCTCCCTTCAGCAGAGAGCATCTTTAGGATCGCAATGACGATGCGGGTGTAGGAGGCGGGGCTCGGGAGGAAACGTGTCAGGCCACAAGGCTCATGTCGGTGAAGCTCACTGTCTCAGTAATGAAGATGTTACCACGGGCCAATTTGACTACGGGAAAGCTGTCACAAAAGAAATAGGGTACCTCCTTGGACCCACAATATGGTACTTGGAACGTCAGCATAGTAAGAACTGTGGCGTGAAAAGAGCTAGTAAACCAGGTGCCAGCGGCCAGCAGGGCACACACCCGGCGGTTCATGATGATGGTATAACACAGGGGGCAGCAGATGGTAGCAAATCGGTCTTATGCCATTACTGGTAGAGCCAGCACTCAGCACTGCCTAGGAAGTGGTCCAAAAAAGACCTGGGACATGCAACCACCCAAAGAGATGACTTGGTTCCTCATCATCAGGTTGGTCAACATTTTGGGGTGCTCACAGAAGAGACACCAGTGTCTAACACAGAGAGGTTGCAAAGAAAGAAAGAGATGGGAGTGTGGAGGCGGGACTCTGACAGCATAGCGAAAAGGGTGAGTCCATTCCCTGGTAGAGCGCAGAGGCGGCAGGTCGAGACAACCACGGAGAGCACAGTCTCCTGACCCTCTGTGCGGGGAATGCCCGACAGGATGGACTCTGAAATCAAAGAGTGCTTCTTTGCCTCCATAGAAGTTTGATTTCTATCCTGGAAAGGAGAAGAAAAGGACAATAAGGTAATGACCCAATGCACCAAAAACCACTACTTGCTGCCAGTAGAGTGATTAAATGAAGAAAAAGAAAAAAAGGACAATGACAAACTCTATTAGTAAAAGGATAACATTTATTGTGACTCAGACCATAGGGAGCAGCATATGCCACGGAAGAAGGTTTGGGCTCTGGGGCGAGGGCCGCATGCAGACAGCCTGACTGGAATGTGGGCAGGCATTACGTTACGATCACTAGATAGATAAGAGCAAATGAGGGAGTCAAAGCTTTGAGGAGTGAAAAGGGAGGAAAGACAAAGAAAGGAAAAGAAAACAGTAGAGAAAAGAAGGTAAAAAAGATGAAACATTTACAGATTAGATCACATTTTCCTAATAATTTTCTAGTTAAGACTTAATTGCATTGTACAAGATAGGTCAAAGATTTTCATTTATAGGTAAAGAAGAAATTCTAATTTGAGGAATTTAAATAACACGGAATTTTCAACGTACAATTATGGCGGACGGAGGATGGAGACCCAAGAATTCTAAATTCATTTTACTACAATTAGAAAACGAGGAAGAAAGAACTATGAAAATGCAGGTAAGAGACAAACTAAATATTCTCTAAACTGAAAGGCCCTTAAAAACAACGTAGTTCAATCATTTATTTTTTAATTTATATTCCTTCATAAGCGTTTTTTCTTATTTTCTTAATTGTTATTGAATTTCTGAGGGTGATATTGATTACTAAAATATTATAGGTTTCAAGTACAGAATTCTATAGTATGTCATCTGTATATCGTATTGGGTGTTGCCAAGTTGTCATTGAGTTCCTCCCTGACAATCCTTGTATTAACTTGATTCTTTTTGTCTACAACTGTTCAACGCTCCGTTACACAATGAGAAATGTTACCAGTGCAGGCCTTACTCTGTTTGCCAGTGCACTTACGCATCTCACGAACCTTCAGATCAACTTTCATAACACTGTAAAACAAAACTGAACGTTATCGTATGCAAAACTGCAAAGAGGCTTTCACAATGGTTTCTGCTATTCAGTACTGAAACCATTCTTTCTTTTATTTTGTTTCTACAAAAACACAGCTCCTTTGCTATCTAGTTTACAGGTGTCCAGTTTCACAATTGCACACTGAATTTTAATTTTCACCGATCACACCAGTCTACTGAAGCATCTTTGTGAGTTTTGACTGTCATACCACATATTCTGTATTCTTTCCAGCGCGACCTTCCTTTAATCACGAAATCTCCTCATGTTTACCCTGAAGCTCATGCCCATAGAGACACAGAATAGTTTGGTTTGGTTTGGTTTTTTTAGGAGACATTGGTAAAAACAATCTATCTAAAACGGTAATAAATTTTCCTTTACTAAAAGAGCTGGAGATAGTGTACATTGCTTTCCTGATCTGAGTAAAAGAGAGGTCTAGATTACCTCTTCTAGATCTTTCAGTTTAACTAATCAAGTGGGAGGAGTGTTATTTAGCAGGACACAAACGTACGTAAGAAACATTTTTTATCCTGTGGATAAAGTCAGCCACTGAGAAAACATACAAATGGACTCCAGTTGCATGAAAAGGTGCTCAACATCATTAATATGTAAGGAATATGCAAACTGAATCCACAATAAGAGATATCACTTCACATCTATTAAAATGGCTATTACCAGGAACACAAGAAATACCATCGGTAAGACAAAAAGAAATGCAGGCAAGGATCAAGAGAAAGGGAACTTGTGCACTGTTGGTGGGAATGAAGTTTGGTATATCCACTGTTGAAAACGGTAGGTAGGCTGCTCAACAAAATTAACAATTAAACTACCATATGATTCAGCAATCCACTTCTGGGTATATATCTAAAAGAGAGAAAATATCCATATCTCAAAGAGATTGCTGCACCCTGATTTTTATTGCAACATCATTTATCTTAGCCAAGATATGGAAAGAAACTTAATGTCCATGGATGGATGAATGCATTTTTAAAAAGTGAGAGGTTTTATATATTCATGAAAGAGAAAGAAAGAAAGAAAAGGGAAATTCCACCATTTGCCACAACCTTAATCAAAATTGAGGGTATAGTGCTAAGTGATATAACTCATACAGACAAAGACAAACCCTATTTAGGCTCGTGAATCTATGAAATTTTTTAAA